CTCTCTCTCTCTCTCTCTCTCTCTCTCTCTCTCTCTCTCTCTCTCTCTCTCTCTCTCGCTGGCGTCTGTGTAGCCACGGCACGATGTAGAGCATGAGACCCGAGCATCCAGCCGTCGCTCCCATCAGGTAGAAGGCAGCATCGTAGTCACCGGTCACATCATACAGCCAACCTGCGTAGCCACACGTACGTCACCATGATGTCATACACCGGATTAGCTGCTGTATGAGCAAATCTTTCAGAAATATTCTTTATATTTTTTTCAATAACTTTACGGTTTAAGTATAACCCTTTTTTTATTATTTTGTGAATTATATCCGTGCACACTGCTAGACGGGCGTTAAGAATACGCGCGCGGTATACAGGGATGAACTCCTGGCCAGGGCATCATGTAGAAGATAGACGTTGGGAGAATGGCGTAACGATGACGAAAGACGACGCGTTTGTTGTATGACCCTCTTATTGCCAGTCTTCCTAACTTTTATTTGTCGGTCTCCCATATACGTTTATTGCCATTCCGCCTAATGTCCACCACCCGCATTACGTCAATGCCGCCCCCACCCACTCATCTTCATCTGTCGCGTAATTCCCTACTATAATCGACATAGCAATCACAACGGTGGCGCGTCTAAATGGTTTAGCCTGGGCTGAGAGAGAGTTTAGAATGAAGGTTCATATATATTTTTCAAAATATCACTAAGGGAAGAACAAGTTTACTTTTCGGGTAATGCCTCTAAGATGTATATATAGATTCGTGGATCAGATGAGTTCCTTATCTCTATGACTCGGATATGTGTAGGTAGTGATCTAAACTCACCGGGTAATGGTGCAATAGTGACCGAGGTCAGGCCCTGGAATAGCGTCATCAGACCCATGGCACTGGTAAGATTTTCAAGCCCCAGGAAATCCACGATGATGATGGACATCAGTGATATGTAACATCCTGAAAGTACAAAACTTGTATTTGTCGTCATCTTCGCATTTATTTAAAAGTTTGAGAAATATTTCAGGGCCGCCTGAGGTCTTTTAATCGCTAAAAGTAACATCCCGAGAAAATAAACGAATTTAAGCTAGGTTATCTGTGCTTTCGTTGATACTGAGGCAATTTTTCCTTCAGCGCAGTAATAAGACATTTTTCCGCGTGACGAGTTTTCTTCTCCGTTTAGAAAGCGCTTGCTGTACTGCTACACTTGTACGGGCAACTGTGACACCATCATGATGTACAGTCCTAATCTAACCAAACCTCCTAATCGATATCTCTGTGGCCCCCAGTCCTATCCAGTCTTCATACTCGCCTGTCCAACTCTGCATAGCTCAACGCAGGAATTCCCCCCCCCCCAATTTATCACGGCAAGTCCTACCGTTTCTATACGTACTGAACCTTCTTACTTCCCGCGCAATGATGTCCAACTCTGCAGCACTCAACGCGAGACAACCCACCATCGATCACGGTAGGTCCTACTTCCGTTTCATCAATACCTACTGAACCTTCGTACTCTCCCGCGCAATGATGTCCAACTCCTGTACGCACTAGCTAAGACGCGAAAAACACCCACCATCGATCACGGTAGGTCCTACTTCGCTTCCTATACCTATGCAACGGTGTCGCTTAACTTCACGCAGACCCCCCCCCTTCCCGCCGTTAGTCACGGTATAGTTCCACCAACTTCCAGATCCGTATTACCTACGCGGGCGAAGAAGAGTCCGTACAGGCCGCTTACGATCGCACAGCGACGCGTAACTGCTAGCAGAATGGACGGTGCGACGGCCGCCGCCACGCCAGAAATCACGAGAACGTCTGTAGCGCCACAGCCGGCGACGCACCGAGACGCGGTCGGCTTAGACCCGACGGCGACCGCGCGCACCGTGTGACGATTGCGACGATCACGACAGGAGCTTGGCGCCTCTGCCGCGCGCGTATCGCGCCTCGACCCGGCGACGTGCGGCAGGTAGACGTAAGGTACGTTTGTAGCCGACGGCTCGTGAGCCGTTGGTAGGCGCTGTGCAACAACAGGAAGATGGCGGCTTGGTTAGCGGCCGCACGTCGAAGAATGCTCAGGAGGGTAATCGAGGGTTTTTTTGGCGCGAGTACCGACGCTGTCGTTGGACGCGGCGTGCGACGGTGCCGCCATCGTGCGGCGCGTCTGCGCGGAACGGACGTAAGCGGCTTGGGACATCTTTTTTCAGCAGGCTTCCTGAGTGAGCGACATAATCGCGGGTGTCCGCGCCTGGTGGAACTCCGCGCGGATAGCACTACGGAAGCGACCGAAATTTTTTCCCTGGGCGACGGCGTTGCCTTTTAACTGTAGTGCTAATCGATCGGGGTATAGACATCCACGTGCGATCGCTCGTTCACGTCATCGCTGCTGCGTGGGCATTCCACGTCTCATTTTGTTCACGACTCTTGGATACCAGGACGAGCGATCTCCATCGGAAGGAGTTTCAGCTCGTATTAAGGTTTCTGCATCGTGGAAGCTTCTCAGTGGGTCGTCACGGTACGCCAAGGGACCTCGTTCAGGCTGGATAAACATTGTGTGCTTTCCTCGCGTGCGCGCGCCAGTAAAGTTCTACCCGTTCCACGTCATCTTGCGTATGCAGCAAATCCTCCTTCCCAATCGGCAGGCTCGTACTGACCGATTCACAACTCTTTGCCCAGCCCTGTCGGTACAGAGACCTATGAACTCCTCCGTCCCTGGAATGCCAATGATCTCTACACTCCTCTTGCAATCCGCGGCGTTGAGGACCACACTAACCTTCGGGCTACATCTACCCCCTCTAACGAGTGAACTCTTCGACCTCCGTCGGGCCGTCTCTGCGCTCCGGGCAGGATTCCTCCGCGCCTCGGCCAGCGCCCGTAGCGGCGGCGAGCTTTCCGCGCCAAGCGGTCGTATGAGCGTGCGAAGACGCCGAGTTATAGCCACGACCCCAGCCTGCAGCAGCAATGGCCCCACCGAGCCGCGTAGATCTGCGTGAGGTGCTGGTATAGCGGTTGCCGAGGAGGACGTTCGCCGACACCGAAGCCCACACGACGGCCAGTCCGTCGCCAGCGCGCGTCGCTTATCTCGAAGGTAGGAAGCAACGCCAGACGCACGGAACGGGAATATAGAGCACTCTGACATGCGAGGACCTGCGTCGAAGAGAGAGGAGAGATTTGAGATATAGATATACGACGAGAAGCGTCGAGAGCGAGGAAGCCACATAGACAGGCTAGACGATAGAGAGAGCTCAAATCAGACAGATTAGAGAGACGAGCAGTGTGGGGGAGAGAAAGACGAATGAGCCGCGAGGCAGGGGGCGAGCGTAGTAAGCAAAAGACGAAAGAAGCCAATTAAGGCAAGTAAGGAAAAGAGAGCGAGAGAGCGAAGAGACGATGCGAGACGAGACGAGAGAGACGCAGGAGAGAAGAGAGAGGGAGGGAGAGTTGAGAATGACCGGCTGCTAGTACATATGAGGTAGGTTAAGCATGAGCCTAATGCCAAGATTAATATCATGTTAATTCTGGTTAACCAAGTTGTAACAACGGACAAGGGAGAGGGAGGAAGCAGGGAGGAAGAGGAGAGAGCAGAGGACCCGGGAGCGGGAGGGAGGGAGGTGGAGAAAGAAGAGAGAGAGGCTACCCGCGGAAGTAGAAGCGAGAGAGAGGAGAGAGAGCGAGGGGGAGAGAGAGAGAGAGCGGCAGACGAGACAGAGGGAGAAGAGACGAGAGATGAGAGAGAAGGGAGAGAGAGAGAAGAGAGAAGAGAGCAAGCTATATGCGAATCAAAGCTTCACCCACCTGTCCACGAACCCCAAACCGAGAAGCATAGAGAAACGCCACCGTTGGGAACGCGAGTGAACTGAGCACGCAGCGGCATTGGCTAAGCACAGCACCGCCTACCGTCCACAACCCGACCATCCAAACCTGCTGACTAGAGCCGCTGGCCGGCAGCGGACCTTGTGGCACAGCATTGGAAATATATTCATGTCAGCAGAATTTCTAACATGCAATTACGAAAACGTAAGCCGAGTAAGGCTACAGGTTGCTATATCAGGACTCAAGTAAACGGATCCATTATAGATTATGCCGGTGTCGTTTGAGGGTGTGGCGAAGGGAATAAACTCTATAGATTATATATTATATATATAATGATATATATATATTTCGTGCTCCTGTCCTATCCATGTCCTCCGTGGGGCATGCCTCTATAATTGTGTATATGTGCTGCTGAGTGCGACGCGTTGTATACGTTCGCAACGTGAGTATATATAATTATATATATATCATATATTCATATATATGTGGTGTGTGTGTGGGTGTGTGCGTGCGTTGCGTGCGGTGCGTGCGTGCGTGCGTGCGTGGTGGTGCGTGTGCTGTGTGTGTGGGTGTGTGTGTGTTACATGTGTGTGTGCGTGTTGCGTTGTGCGTGTGCGTGCATGTGTGCATGGTGGCGTGGCGTGCATGTGTGCTGCGTGCGTGGTGTGTTTGTGTGTGTGCGGCGTGCGTGCTGCGTGCATGTGCATGCGTGCATGCGTGCATGTGTACATGCGTGTGCGTGGCATGCGTCTGCAATACATACCACCTCCGAGCATGACCCCGATGCAGATGGCGCGCACCCAGGCCGTGTATCCCTTGCCTTCACGAAACTCCTCGGAGCAAATTCACGTGAGAAGACGCCGTATGTAGATACACGTCCATCCGACAGCAGGTTGGATGGCGAAGGAGGCGAAACACCCCAGCCCCACCCACCGTCCGGCGGCGGAGGCTCACCACCCCTCGCCGCCAGCCTGCGACCGTCTCGCCGTCTGGTGGCCGCAGCACTCGGCTCTGCTTGCGTGACCATCGAAGCGTTGTCGATGATGGATGGAGAGACGGCGCGCGAAATCTGAAGACGATGCCGGCACTGTACTATACGACACACGGTGGCTATACATCTATAATCCTGCTAGTCTGTCCATGGCTATACATATATAATCCTCCTAGTCTGTCCATGGCTATACATCTATAATCCTGCTAGTCTGTCCGTGGCTATACATATATAATCCTCCGGCCTAGTCTGTCCATGGCTATACATCTATAATCCTGCTAGTCTGTCCATGGCTATACATATATAATCCTCCTAGTCTGTCCATGGCTATACATCTATAATCCTGCTAGTCTGTCCGTGGCTATACATATATAATCCTCCGGCCTAGTCTGTCCATGGCTATACATCTATAATCCTGCTAGTCTGTCCGTGGCTATACATCTATAATCCTCCTAGTCTGTCCATGGCTATACATCTATAATCCTCCTAGTCTGTCCGTGGCTATATACATCTATAATCCTCCTAGTCTGTCCGTGGCTATACGTGTATAATCCTGCTAGTCTGTCCGTGGCTATACATCTATAATCCTCCTAGTCTGTCCGTGGCTATACGTGTATAATCCTCCTAGTCTGTCCGTGGCTATACATCTATAATCCTGCTAGTCTGTCCGTGGCTATACATCTATAATCCTCCTAGTCTGTCCGTGGCTATACGTGTATAATCCTCCTAGTCTGTCCGTGTAGTGTGGTAAGCAGCGAGGTGCCATGGCCGCCGCCTCATCCTGCTCCTGCTACTGTATCGCTGCTGCACTCGTTCTCTCACAAACGCTGCGTTTAGATTTTAGCTGGACGGTTGAGAGATGATAATACGGCTGACCGCGGCCGCCGATCCCTCTCGTTACGCACGGGTTGAGCGCGCTGCCCCCCATAGAGTCAACACTGGCCAGTGTCCAGCAGTAACCGTAGCCCTCTCTCTCTCTCTCTACTATCAGCTGAGTGAATGAATCTACTATAGCGTCACCACTATGTGTGTGCCATCGGGTTCACTGCTACTCACACACGCGCTAGTCTAATACGTGGGTACGAGGTACGCGTGCATAATCTTCATATATATATATATATGCGCACCAGTGCTCATATATCCGCAACGTATGCAGCGATGCATACGAATGCGTTGCTTGGGGCAATATAAAGACAGAGAGAGAAAGAGAGAGAGAGAGAGGGGAGGAGGGAGAGAGAGCGCGATGTGTATATGAGCATGTGCACACATTGCTATAGCAGTGTTTGCATTTTCTATTGCACCCCCTATAGCGTCAGCAAACATATATGCATATAATCAGGAGTAAGATAATATATAGGATATATATCCTATATATAATCATACTCCTGATATAATCCGAGAGGAGAAAAACGTGCAGAGTCAGCACATATCTACTTCTGTTACTCCGGATATGTATGCTGTAACACTGCTTAATCATTTATAGACTATTTATTATAGTCAGCACTTATCTATAGTCAGGCTTTCTAGTCAGCACATATCTAGCTCTGTAACTGCGGATATTTGTGTGATGTAACACACAGGCACTAGGGACAGATCGAGTCAGTAAAAACTGAAAATAATATGAACGCACATTCACAAATACTACCCCTCAATTACACTTCCACTGTCGTGTTATTGTATATCAACTTTCTTTCACAAAAACTATTGCAGAACGCTCCCGCACTCGCCGCGGCGAGTGTGCTGTGTCGTCATTATAATGATA